AGTTTCAGTAGCATTCAGGAACTCCCTAAATACCATCTAGAAAGAAGTAAAAATGTCTTAAATTAAGTGTATTTACCATTAATTTGAGCAGGTAAATAAGATGATTTGCCAATTGAATAAGTATTTTTAGTTTTTAGATATTCTGCACTTGAAATAAGACAATGCAATTGTTTTTTCTTGTTTTAAGTAAACTGTCTTTCTCCTTTGGCAAAGTGTGTCACTTATCTTCTCAATTCAAAAACAAATGCACAAAAAAACAACATATTTAGATTTTATTTTTTGCAGTGTACAATTTTTTTGGGTTTTTTTTGGTAAGGATAGAATATAGCTTGCTTTTACTGGCAGTGCTTCCAAATTACTGGCTTCACCCACAAACAAATCAGATGCAACCAGCTAATATATAGATGCTTAAAACTGATGTCCTTTTTTTTTATATATGTAAAGTGCCCATAACACAACTTTTCACGTTCTGATATTTTATATGAACTGCAAAGGCTAATTCTAGTGTTAAAAAAAAGTAAATAAATGATTGTGTCGTACTTTGGTTTTTCCCAGTGGCTTTTGGTTCTGAATTTTGTATGTGTTTGGAATTTGCAGACAAATGTCAACCTACACTGTCATATTTTGAAAAAAAATAAAAATAAAAAATCAGTCTATAAATGGTCTGTGGTAAAACTGAGCTTTTAAATCATACAATGATGATGGGAACTTACAGGGAATTCCCTAAAAGACCAGAACATGTGGAAACCAGTGAAAAGCAATAAATAAAAAGCAAGAAAGGAGCGGAGAGTGACATTGGATCAAAGCCAGCTAATCAGGAGAATGTTGAACAGCTGGGAGAGTGCTGAAACAAAGTGGAAATACAGTAAACATAAAGGAAAACTACAAACCATAAACTAATAGAAATAAATGAACAGAAACAAATGAACTTTGATGTACAGTTGCAGCCATTCAAAACGTCCCTTCTCAGTCAAGAGTGACTTCCTTCTTCTCCTGGGCATGCATATTTTTTTGACTCCACCCTTTCACTGAATTCCAGGGTCTGGCCAGTAGACGGTGCTTCTCTTCAGATCTTAATGTCCACAAATCATGACAGAATATTTTAGAACAAAGATTGATGTTTAAAAAAGGAATCTTAGGGGACGAGCCAAGCGCCCATCAAGGAAAGTTAGAAAATTTTAAATGGCTACTACTGCAAATGACAAACTAAAAATATGCAGAGAAAAGAAATGAAGAATATAAGAAGATTAAAGATTATATTATAAATCTATAATATATCATTACAGCATCCTCTTTAGAATATGACAAAACAGCAAAGAAAGGATCAAACCAGAAAGGAAAAGTAAAACCCCAGAATCAACCAACAATTTAAAAACTCCTTTTAGATGCGTCTCGGTTAAATGGGCAGATGAAATAAGAGCTAAATGACTTTTTAATCATCTCCATTTGTACTTTGTGATTCAAACAAACTCTGGGACATGTTCTCCTATAATGGTTTTCTTGTAAGATTTAAACTCCCCATGAATTAACTTCCTCAGTACGTCTGCTCCTGCATGTTTTAATGCGTTAGAAGCTAGAGAAAGCTAAAATAACTCTGAAAACCCTCCACAGTCCACTTATCAGGCGCAAGCCAGCACTCCCCTTTAGTTCTGCTAAAATTAAATATGATTGGATGGAAGGTTAGCATTTGCTCCCTGGTGAGGGGAGCGGAGGATGAATTTTAACAAAGTGACACTTTTTTTGGTCATCACTGGGGCAAAAACTGATTAATGCGGGACAAATGGTTCATATACTTTAATAGAGGATTACTTAGGAGAGGCATTTTGGGCAAAATAGGTTAATCGAAATTACTGGCAAATTTAAATATGTTTTTACACAAATCTAATTTGTCGTTAACTCAAATGTCGTTCACTGAAGATGAAAGTGTGCTGTGAAGGATGTTTTTACCTTTTTTATTATCCCACTCACTGTGCTTTTTGCCAGCATAAGCTTGGGTCTTCCTCAACCCTTTTCTGTATGTTCCAGTTGTTTTACACACTTTAAATAAAGCTCTGAATATTTAGGTGACTATTTTTTAACCTTTCCTGAGTTTTAACCAAAGATTGAAGTGTTGTCGTTTTTTTTTTTTCTCTTTAGTGACACATTTTCTCTTCTTTTTCATTTTAAACCGTCACCATAAAAACTAACCCCACAACTTTGGGTCACATTTAAAGCCAGAAACTGCATAACCATCAATGCATTAATAAGCCTTTTGTCTTAACTTGGTTGTTGCAGTTTTGCACTGTACTGATATCTTTTGGTGTTGTTGTCACTATATTTTGATGATTAAAGACATTCATTCTTATATCTAATCCCGTAATTTAAGATGATGTTTTCCTGTTTTTCCTCAAGAAATCAAGAAATTGTATTTTAAGCCTGGGGAGCTATTTTCAGCTTGTTTTCATCATCACAGCAAAAGGAAAACTTTATTGTATTCTCATCGCTTTGTTTCATGTTTAGAGTTGGAAAACGTTTTTAAATGCTGTGGTATATAAAAAAAAAAAAAAATTATAATAATATTAATAGAAGGCCCGCTTTTCAAGTCCAATAGAGTATCAGATAATTGATCCTTAAAGTCCCCCTTTTGGACTTTGTAAGAGGTTTAAAACTGAGGTTTGAGTTAAAAAATATTTTCATTTTTATTTGATTTTTGAAGATTTGTNACATCTCAAGCTTAAACCTTTACAGGTAAACATTATAAATATGGTCTTATTGTGTCCGTGAATGGTTGGTCATTTCAGTCTTTGACTTTGATATGGGAATTTAATGCCAGTCCTCTCAGGAAATGCTTCCAGCATTGAAATTCTGCCAAGTTTGCTAGAAATTTGTAATGTTTGAATAGAAGGAGCAGTCGAAAGGCCTCATCAGATAAATGTTAAATCTGATTTATTTTACTGTGAAATCATCTGAGCTTTCCAATAATTCTTAAATCTCTATTAAAAATATCTACATTGGATGGTGTTGCTACATAAAATGTCACTGTTCTTCATTTTAATTTTTTTTTATTATAGATCAATGAAGTTTATTCATTTGAAAGGAAAAGGAAAGAATATGTTGCATAGGGTCATAACCCATAGCTAACTTTAGATTCGGCTCCTGTCTTTTAGGTACAGTACATCTCTACCAGCCTCCTGCATGTGGTATTAGGTATTTTTTTCTTGCAATTCAATCAGCTTGGACTCAAAGCATCTACGAACATCTACTGCTTCCCATTTAAAATCAGGTCAAGACTTTGACTGGGCCATTCTAAAGAAAGATACTCTACTATACACTTTGATCTCAATGGTTGGTTGGTTGTTTTGGGTTTTTGTCCTGCTGAATAATGAATCTATGGTCTAGAGTCTTTTGCAGAGTCTTGCAGGTTTTTCTTCTTTATCTTCTTTGGTTTTGCTCCATCCATCTTTCCATTAACTGAACAGTTTTCCTGTGCCTACCAAACACAAGCATCCGCAAAGCACTCTGCTGCCTCTGCTACTCTGAAATACAGGTGTATTCAGGGTTGCATGAAGTGCCGGTTTTTAAGAAAATATCATTTAAATATAGACAGGAGAAGTTGAATTTAGTTTCATTTAAGGCTCAGACACTTTTTCTACTGTTTCCCATTTTTAACTCACGCTTGGAGAAAAAAAAAAACAACAAAAAACAATTAAACAGGGCTTCTATTGTGTTTTTTTCAATAGTCCCAGAATTTTGAGTGACTAGAACAGTGTTTGTTCTGTCACTGATATTTCATATAAAACCACAACAAAATAAGCTGACGATTGTGCTTCTATCACAGGAAAAAAGTCAAACTGGTCAAGAGGTGTAAATACTTGTGTGACACTCTCTATCTGCACGGCCATAAAGATTTAAGAGATTTGCAAACTACTTTCAATGATACTTGCTCTTGTGGATAAAATATAAAGTCGAGAGATGAAATCAAAAATATCTGTTTCTATATATTTTTTAACCTATCAAGTATGCTTACTAAATAGATGTCAATGTGCTCTTATCAAGGGGGGCAATGCCGGGGGAAAAAAAAAAAACTTGGTTTCCTTTCTGTTTGTTTACACAGACAGAGGAAATAAAAGTGGAGATAATTTTTCTTCTCCACTTTTCTTCATGCCATTCTTTTAATTTAGCAAAACTACAGCCTGCAGGCAGACAGGGGTCAGATCACGCCCCCTTTTTACCTGCACTCCTCCATGCAATCAGCACAACGCTCAGTTGTCATTTGGAAGTGACAAACCGCTGCTGTTGTGCCATGTAATTATTTTCCCGCCCGAGGAAGAAACACTAAATACCTCACAGATGCTGTAACAAACTCATGAAAATACCTTTTTTCTGTTTGATCAGAAACATGTTTAACATGCATTTTACCATAACAGGCTTGTTGTCTTTGCAGCTCCTGAACTATTAAAGAGGTCTTTGTGTCTGGGTGTGTTTTTCTAAAGAGGTTTCATTTTGTCACATCAATAAATCACGTTCTGTGGTGTTTGAGCATCAGGACTCAAAACCTTCCATTCTGTTTTTCTTCTTTTACTTATTTTTTGAAGATTTCAGTGACTTTTTAGAAAGGGTTTCTTGGTCCTGTTATACAAACTCATAAGGCCATGTTATGTTCATTTTTTTTCCACTACTGCCCAGTAAGACTCCAAAGGTTGCACTGAGGACATAAACAGGGTTTAAACTAAATCAAAACAATACGGCAGCCGATTTCTTCTTTGATCTTGTGTCTTTTCTTGTGATAAATCTGTGTCTGTGATGGTTTTTCTTTTTTTTTTTCTTTTTGCTTTTGTACTCTTTTTAAAGAAAGGAAAGAAAAACAATGAGCAAACATGAACTCTTGAACTTATTTGTCCTTTTTTTCACTCTTGCTTCTTTTCTTTTTTTGATATTCTTTTTTTTTATCGGTTTTTGCCAGTAATCTTTTTTGAAATTTTCTCTTTTCTCTTTTTCCCCCCTTTTTTTCTTAACCCTAGGTCCGCTCACAAAAAAAACTGATGAATCTTCAATGAACAAGCCTCGAGATGAAGGTATTTTTGTTGCATGTTTTTCCCTTTTTCCCTTCTTGTTTTGAAAGTCTTTTTTTGGGGGATGTGTGCACACACACACACACACACAAACACACACCTTCATGATATCAGATGCATAAAATTGTGTTGCTGAACAAATGTCCTGCTGACCACTTCAGTTTAGAAAGGTGCTTTCTGAATGTTAATCATTAGCCTTATGTAACCTTAGCTGAGCAAATCGAGCTAATGGAACATTATAAAACCATTCACTGTGTTTTTCAGGTGCTTATCTTGCTCTCCAATAACAAAGGCTGCTCAGACACCATCATCAGCGCTGTGCCCTTGAAAATACATTGGCCAAATGGTGGCCTTGTCCCAAAAAACAAATTGTTGTGCAGATTTTTGAGTAACAAAGCCTCTATTGAATCCACAGCAAACAATGAAGCATTATTACCACACCTCAGCCTCTTTCTCATGGCTGAAATTGCTGTTGGATGAGCTTTGCAGAAATATTAAGCTGTACTTAGCCGGAGTCAGGGATGATAACATCAAATCAAGTTGGGGGAAAAAAGGAGAACATTCAAGGACACCTGTGCACCACTTTGGAAACTGTGGGTCTAATCTGCTGCCGGGGGGAAAGGAGAATGAAGTTCAGCCCACCTTCAGTTTACCTCCTACCCACTGCACTTATATTGTGGAGAAAATTTTGTCCACACCTTTATTTCTTGTCTTTGTTCTCTTGTTCTTGTTTCTTGGGGGAAGAAAGATGACAGACGATAAGTTGATATTATTTCTTTGCTATTTTTAAAGGTTTTGCTGGTCTTTGTTTTTTTTTTTTTCTTCAGACGCTTTGATTTGAGTCTTTTTTTTTTGTTCCCTTTTCCTTTTTTTTAAGTTCGGAGCTGACGGAAGTTTGACACACGAGGATTTTCTCTGTGATCAAACAAGCCGATGCATTCGTGACTTTTTGGGCTGCCGCAGTCAGGAAAGCAGGGAAAACAGTTAAGCACTGAGGAAGGATGCCCCCTTTCACCCTCATTCATCTTCCCAAAGTAGAGTTTACCAGATTTGAAGGGGATCCTTTAATTTCATTTGTCCAGTCCTGTAGCTAAATCCTGTTCAAAGTCAGATTAAATTACATCTAAAGCTCAAAATAGCTAAATTTTTCTCCACGTATAACAAAAATAAAGCTGAAAGGA